CACTGAAGATATTACCTAGCTGGGTAACAAAATGTTTGCAGGAAAACAACCAAGCTCAGAGAACCTCAAGGACTCCACAGTACCCATAATTACCCAGGCTGCTGCACGCTGCACAAGGTGAAGCTTCTGCGTTATCTTCAAGGACAATTGTATGAAGATAACTGCACATCAGTAGAACTTGCTTCTTAGTTCACATACGCATAAACACAGGATGGTACCCCTGTACACTGGCCATTGTTCTGTTCCGCATTGTTCTCTTTAGGTTCAGAAAAGATATTGAAAGGTGTGATAGATCCTTAGTATGGAATGAGGTTCAACTTAGGTCAGACCTGTGAATCCAAATTCATTGGTAAAATGAATGGTAGCTTGGTGCAACCCCAACCATTTTAGCCTTTAGCCTTTCTGGCACTGGGGTAGAGGGATAGGAACACTCTTTTAGGGCATCCTAGGCGATGACTGAGGTGCCAGGTTTTTAGTTTTGGGCTCTTTAGCCTTCCTGGCACTGGGGTAGAGGGATAGGAACACTCTTTTAGGGCATCCTAGGCGATGACTGAGGTGCCAGGTTTTTAGTTTTGGGCTTTAGTTTTGTTTTTATGATTTTATGGTGTTATAGTTTGTGGTTTTATTATTGGTGTGAGCCGCCCAAAGTTGTGTTTTAAGATGGGCATCTATACAAATCTTATAAACAAACAAACAAACAAACAAACAAATAAATTCCTTCATTCTCCTGCAGTGGCCATCATGTGATCCATGTTAGGCAGTGAAATAGTCTGATTGGTTAGGTTCTGTCACTGTGTCTTGTCTGACATCATGGCTGCTTGCCTATCCATATATCCATTTTTCCCCCCCTTCATGAGTGCTGGATGGGAGAGTGAGGAAAGTATCTGTCTTTACTTATTATAGGTTGTATTGGAAAGTAAGTAATGGCCTGGTCAAAGGACATTCCCACTTTCCACTGGTCCCATATGCATGTAGCCCCCACAATAACTAAATGCAACCCCTGATTTGAGAAGGCCACCCATCGTTCTAGGAATGGCCAAATAAAGCACAGAAACCAGGCACCATTATAGCAGAGAGTCTGGATATACAGAGACATTTATTTTGTGCTTGCTTTGTTCATATCTATATTACAAATATTACCAGTTTTGTTGACCAAGCTCATTCATACTATTTTTCCCCACGGGACAGATTCAAGAGACATCATGTTGTCAAGTGCTTTGTGCTTTCTTTTAAAATATAGAGAAGCCATTAACTTTTTCTTTTTTTGATAAAGGATCTAGGGACTTGCCAAAGTGACAAGATGCTGATGGTGTGTTTCACTGTAAGTGGCAATGGAGGAATTAAGTGTAGTATAATCTGACAGCCTAGACTCGTTGGTTTATGGCAAGGAAAACATATATAACACTGCACCTGCATAATTGTCTGACTCAGTAAAGTTCTTAGAAAGGTCACAACTTGACATAGTGGGGGGAGCTGTTTGGCATAAAAGAGGCGCTGAGCTTCAGGATACATTAACTGAAGCAATTTAAGGAGCCCCTTGCTACATTAACAGTTAATTTGACAGTAGTTATATTGTTTCCCTGTAGATCATAATTTTCTCTCAGGCATTTGAAAGATATACAGTAGTAATTATAGTGACACTTAACATTTATATAGCAATTATATAAATTGTTTGCAAACCTGGCCAATTAAAGTTATGGATTGTGTGGAATAACTGTTTACCTATGTTTCTCTTAGAAGTCCTTATATTGTCTTTATGAGCACACATTTTGCATGTTTAGACAAGGTATAAAAAGTGCAATCCAGGGGTGACATAAGGCCTTCTAGCATCCTGTTTGTGGTTTCATAGAAGATAAAGACAATGATTTGAGCTCCCCTGTTTTGCATTTTTGGAGATTTGGGGGGGGGGCGCGGTCACAATGGAGGACTTAAGCTTTGCAGATGTTTAAGCAGTGTGGTTCTCAATATGCTGCATAGAACCTGGGATAGTCCTCAAGCTCCTGGAAATGGTCCATCTCTGATTTAGAACATCTGTCAGAAATTATCAGCCTTTTGAGGTAGTCCAGACAGGAAACCAAAACCATGAGTGCTAACACTACCTTTATTATAAGGTTACAGTAACAGAACCTTGCAAGTCTGAAAACTTCTCCCCTCCCTTGCCTTTACTTTCCAGAGAACTAGGAAGAGTCCCTTCTGAGATGCTTTCTCCATCCCAATTCCTTTTGTGGGCTGAGATATCTCTTGTCAGACCATTGTTTAGGCTGCAGCTCTTCCTTCTGTCTCCCAAAGTTTTTCTCACAGCCCATTATGGAAAGAATGTTTGGTTTTCATATGTAGGCACTAACTATTACTGTCTCCTGCTTTTTCCTTGTGACTCTTTTCAGAGAAGAAGGTGAAAAAATCTGATTGTGGAGAATGGCAGTGGAGTGTCTGTGTTCCTACAAGTGGAGATTGTGGTCTTGGCACCCGTGAGGGAACTCGGAGTGGAGTTGATTGTAAGCAAACAATGAAGACACAAAGATGTAAGATTCCCTGCAACTGGAAGAAGCAATTTGGAGGTAATATCCATGGGATTTTGACTAATCATTATTAATGAATTAATCTATTATTACTTTAAAAAAATGTAATTTGAAAAAGAATTTCCTCTTTAATCAGCAAATGTTTAAAAAATAAATATTTAATATAAGCATTAAAACACCACCAACCTTAAGGCACCTGTTTATTCAGATTACTTAAACCTGTCTTCAATGTTGTAATATATTAGAAGAACAACTTCCAGAATTCCAGTCAATGGCCATGCCAACTAAAAATTGAACCTCACAGTATTAATAACATGGATAAAATGGTCCATCATTAGACCTAAGAATAGCTGTAAGAAATCAGAAGATAGTACTGATAAAATGATTCTAGAATTAGATCAGGAACTAACACATAACATTGGGCATAAATCTGATGGTTCCAGAAACCATTATTACTCCTGCAAACTTATGACATGGTGCTGAGAACAGAAATACTGGCCACGTAGTGGTGATTACTATCATTTTTATTTATCTGTAATACCATTGTCTCCTGTTGATGGTTCCAGAAACCATTATTACTCCTGCAAACTTATGACATGGTGCTGAGAACAGAAATACTGGCCACGTAGTGGTGATTACTATCATTTTTATTTATCTGTAATACCATTGTCTCCTGTTTCCAATGTAGTATTCTCCAATAAAGCAGCATCAGGAACCGATTGCCTTCTATCAAAATAAAAACCTATGCTTGTAT